ACAGTTACGCACACATGCACACACACACACACTTACACCCACAGTTGTGCTTCTCCCCTCCATTTGCTTAACTTCACCATCAGAGCGTGCTGTTGTTGTTTTTTTTTTGGTCATTTTGGTTACAATCTATAAATGAAGAGCTTTGAAGATATTTCTACCCACATTTGTCAACATGTTTTTCAAACTTACAAAATGAAAGTAATACATTGTAATAAGATGCAAAAGGCTACAGAAGGGAAAAGTAAGAGGATGAAATGGGAAAATGAAAAGAAAGGAAAATCTAGACTATCGGTTTTAGGAATATTTGTAGAACGCTTATCAAACATTTCAGGCATAACAATAAAATAATAATGAATACTTGCTATATTTAGGGCTGTATTTTATAGACAGATTATGCTTTGTAGTTGATTTGCTAGTCATTTTATTATTATTATTATCATTATTTAATTTGCTTATCAAAGGCCACAGTAGTGTTGAACAAACACAAAACTATAGTTAAGGTTGTAAGGTTGGCCGTCCTTGTAAAGGAGTGTTAATGAGTTTAAAGCTTACACTGGTATTGTGGGATGGAAGTTGTGCAAAGCTTAAATTAATTCTTTGTTTGCAAGATTTCATAGCTTTTATGACAGGGTCTATGCAGATAGAGGGTTGGAAGTTTGTGGTTAACGTTTGAAATAGAGCTTTTGGTTATTTAATCTTTTTTTTTCTGTTTTGTTTGTGGTTGTTTTCCTTTGCTCATTCGAGATGTTTGTTTGTTTTAATAGAAAGAGATACGTGATTTGCAGTTTGATGTATTGATAGCAATGAAAATTAATTTGATGTTGTCATGGTCTTTTGCGAGTAATTCTATGAGAAACGGGTGTGTTTGTTAAATAATCTCCCCAAAGTTTATCGTATATACATGTATTAGCAAAACACATGTGTGCTTCTGTCAGACTCATTTGATTTGTGATTCTGTTGTCTTAATTTATTTACTAATAACGAGAAATTTGGAAGCAATATTGTTGGTGTCAAGACGCCATATCATTCCTTAATGTTTTAAAATATGCAGGGAAACTATTATTTCTTGTCTTGTTATCATTTTTAAAAGGTAAAGGGGTGACTTAATATTTAATTTCATTGCATTTTTCTTTTGATTATATTTTTAGTGTGTGTGAAGCAAAAGATAGATCTAGACCCTAACATTCATCCTGCTTGTTTGAAGTTTAGACATGTTAAAATGTTGGTTTGTGACATAGATTGTACAACGCTTAATAGAACTATAGCAGGAACAGAATCAGTTTGATTATAACCTTGAAGCAAGAGTAACAAAGGTTGAATTTGGTGAATATTGGCAGGGACGCTGACAGGTCATCTCTTTTTTACCCTAAATGTAATTTTCAGGAATTTTTTTTCTCATTGTTCTTCAGTGAGAATAAAAATGAGGTTCATAAGAATTCTTTTTACTTCTGCTGAGGGAAGTTAAGTGCCTTGTTTGCCGTTATTAATTTTTGTCAAGATTGAAAATTCTATGTGCTCGCGCTTCTGTTATTTAGTTTCTTGTCTTGGATAAAGAAAGTGGTCGTTTGGGGATATTTCTATTTTATGCACAAATGTGAAAAACTGTACAAATGGGAGACACTATTTTCTTTGGTGTTATTTATAAAGTTTTTAACTAATGTTCTGTCTTGACTGACATTGTGGTCCCTATACAGCTCAGAACATGTCAAAGCGGCTGAGACAGAAGAACGCAAACACCACTGCAGAGGGCACTGTGAAGCCTCGACTCAGCGAAGTGGAGGAGGATGTAGAGATGACCACGCCCACACCCGCCTCACCTACTACACCTGCTACACCTGCCACACCTGCCACACTGCCACACTTAGCACACAGACTGCACACACCTGCCACACCTGCCACACCTGCTACACCTGCCACACCTGCTACACCTGCCACACCTGTCACACCTGCCACACCCGCCACATCCGCCCCTCCACCAACCACCCCTCCCACTACTGACCCACTGCCACTGCCACTGCCAGAGTCACCCACAGAGAGCGGAGCCTCCCCTCCCCCTGCCAGCCCGCTGGAGCCAGCGGCATCGCCCACTCCCGAATCTGAACCAAAGTCTCCAAGCCGAATTGCTCTGGAGAAAAACCTTTCCATTTGCAGGTAAGCTGGTAGTTTCTGTTGTTGGGATTCTTTGTCCGCCTCTTGGGTCATATGTTAGGCAAAAAGTTCTATTGTCTATGTGTCACTTTCCTCCCAACTGGGCTGTTGTAAAAGATACAGCCTTATGGCTTTTGAGTTTCGTGCTTACTCATTTTCTTGATTTCACATACAGGTACTTTCATACATGCCCTTACGAGCTAGACTCCAATACTTATGTCTATCTTTCTGGAAATGTCATCAGTGGCATCTGGTGAGATGGGGCTTGCTTTTTGTTGACTAAAATCCCAACAAAAAAACGTTTTGCAAAGTACAGAAAGGAACAAAACATTTTCCAAACAAAGGCTCACTCCAGGATAAGACCCGAAAGAAACGTTAGAGGCATAAATGGAAAAGTGATCTGATTGGTCTGGGTGTATACTGCTTTTTATAACAAGCTTAAATCTTTTCCAGTGAAAACACGGACACCACAGAAGTGTCCAAAGATGGTGATGACGCTTTCGACAGTGATTCTGACAGCACAGACAGTGATGATGATGATGAGAACAACACAGAGACAGCTGTGGAGAAGGAGAAGAAAAAGAAGCAGAAGAAAGTCCTCACAGAAGAAGAGAAAAAGAGGAGACAGAGGATGAAGAGAGAAAAGGTAATTCTCATCAGGAATTCTTTTTTGCTTCTTTTTTTTGTGTATTGCCAGCCCAGCTTTGTTTTTCCTGGCACCATTTTTATTGCAACGGAAATGGAAAATTTTGAAGGGTGGAATTTTGTGAGATCATTATTGTAACCTTAAACTCTAGTTCTAGATTTGATGCTAGCAATGTCAGACAACAGTATTTTATAAACAGCATCAAAAGAAATCAGAAGTGATGCCTTTAACTAGACCTCGTCTTATTCACAACATGATCAATGTTATATGCTTGACTCCGTGGCGCCACTTGAGATACTGTGTGTTTGTTCTTTCATTTCCTCTCCGTAAGTTTTGTTTTATTTTCCTTGCATACCAAGCAGATTTTCGTCAGATACAGTAGGTTAATGAATTTCAACACTTAAGTAAAAGCAGTTTATGTAATAAACTGCAAGGAGAAGGGAGGTGGGCAAAAGCCTTTGAACCTCAAACAAACTTCCTTACAGGAGGGAAAAATAATGTCTCTTGTTTTGCTTTACACTGGAGACGCAGAAAATAGGGGATTGGTGGGTGTTCTGGAGACGCAGAAAATAGGGGATTGGTGGGTGTTCTGGAGACACAGAAAATAGGGGATTGGTGGGTGTTCTGGAGACACAGAAAATAGGGGATTGGTGGGTGTTCTGGTGTGATTTGCTCCATTTTTTCCTAACAACTAAAGTCCTGATCATTCTTCCTTTTTTGTGTTTGTGACTATAATCTTTGGCACTTGTATGACCATATTGTGTTTCAAGTGACGTAGAACTCTGATTAAAACTAAGAAGACACAGAAATGGGCTTTGACAAAAGTAGAATTCTGAGAAACATTTGTGCTAAAGTAAGCTTGTGACTGAATGTCACTTTGGCTCAGTCCTATGTCTTTTCCCCTGTATCTTCCTCTTCATTGATTGATGTCCTTATAGAGTATGGTCAGGAACTGTTATATGTGTCATGCCAATAATCAGTGCTTTTCAGTCAAATCCACACAGAAATGTGTTCTTCAGTGGATTAAAAAAGTATTGAGGCAAAAAACAAAATTCATTTAAAAAAATACCAGGTATCAATTTCATTATTTTGACGAGCGTCTGATTTCACTATTCTGCCTCACATATGTCCTCCTTCTGTGTTTCTTGTTTTAGATGGTGCACTTCCATCGATGGCTACAATCTAAGCTGAATAACATGTTAAATTGTCAAATTCCTCTGCTTAACAGTTTTTAAACACCATTGGCCTTTGCTGTGGAATCAGGGCTATAGATCATTTGTATTGAACTCCACTGATTTGAGGAAAAGTTTTTGAAACTCTGCTGATCACAAAAGAAGTTCTGAGTCTGTACTGATAGCTAAAGAAATTTTTAGTCAATGATGAGGCTTTTTGCCCCTCTATATCAGTTCTATTACAGGAAGGTGCTTCTTTTGGAAACAGCTATTGTCAAGCTGGTATGAATAAAATTTCAAGTCATCTTCAGCTTCAATGAGCAGGCATTGAGTTGTTCTTAGAGTAAGAAAATATTTTCTTTGTTGATGCTCTGTTTTTCATCTTTGAGAAGAGTATGTGGGTGGTTGGAGGGGGCCACTGGTAGGTCTTACTCCTTTTCCTTCCCTCTGTTGTTTCTGTCTGTCTGTCTTACTTTTTGCCAGCACCAAATGGCCCTTTATTGTGTCGATGTCCTTCTCTTTACTAAAACAAACGTAGGCAACCGAGAAGAGTACAAGAACAGATTATGATCAATGAGATTTGTAACCTCTCCCCATTTTCCCTCAGGGTACTGCGGGAAAAGAAGCCTCTGCTGCCATGGAGATGTCGCTTCTGGTCAACTACATTCAGCCTGTCCATTTCCATTCCTTTGACGCCTCTGAAAGTAAGGACAGCCCGTGCATTTTTCTGTTGTGCTCATTCAGAAGGGTAGCCAGGGGATTGTAACTGGGAAAGATGGAAAAGATGCAGTAATAATGATGCTGGCAGCAACAATAGTGATGATTATGGCAGCAACAATGAAGATGAGGGTGATAATTATTTTTTAAAAGTTTAGAATATCTGTTTTGCGGTACAACACTTTGTCTGTAGGGGGAATTTATAATGCTGCAGGTGTGTGTGCATGTGTGTGTGCGTACATGTGTGCATGCATATTGCTGTAGTTCAGTCTTGATCTTTCATCAAAATGTTGTACTTTACTTACTTTTACTTTTTCCGTCCTCTGGTATCCTTAGGATGTCGAGGAGAGGTGCAGGTTTCAGTCCTGCTAGGTGTGTAGCGTCTGTGATAGATATGTAATGTTGTTCCAGGACCTTTTTAACCCCTTCCAGGAAGGTCTTTCTTGGTTCAATAAATGATTTTATAAGTTATAGTACTTTATTTTATTGCTTGATTATTAGAATCTAGAATGTGGAGTTAGCAGAAATTTGAAAGCTTTTAAAAAAACATAAGTTCTGAAATGTGATATTGACCTCTTTACCTGTGTTTCTTTCAGAGCGCAGACGAAGCTATGAAATCACTTCTTTTGTGGAGACACAAGGCACATCCCTGCTCAAAGAATTCCCGGTGGAATTTGTCAAGTATCTTTTTCAAGGCACACACTGCTGATATGTCTGTATACACGCAGACTGGTTGATAAACTGTGGAAAATATGAGCATTTCATACAGTTTTTATGTTTCTCTGAATAATGATATAGATCTATTCCTTAATCATAAAGTTTACTTCCAAAAACTGTGAAAAACAGTCCAGTTAGCTAAATATGCTTTGTTGTGAGTTCAGATTGTATGTGCATATCTATCAGAAAACCATTACAATGTTCAATAGTTAAAATGAATTACAACCACGTCTTGCCTGCTAACTTGTTTAATCTATCTTTAGAAAGAAGTACTCCTGTTTGTGGTTGGTGCGTGTTCTGGTGTGGTCTGCTCCTTCTTTCCTATAAAAAATTTATTGACCTTTTTTCTCCTCTTTTTTCGTGTTTGTTACTCTCTTGTAGCATCTCTAATATTTAGCTCTTATACACTGATAGGACCTTGTTGTGTTGCAAATACCTAAAACTTTAACTAAAGCAAAAACAGAGTCTCTGTTCCGTCACTACTGCTGCTTATATTTATGCTGTATTGTTCTCTATCCTATATGCTTTGATCGGGGCAGTGCCACTGACTGAAGTGTCTTTAGGCCATTCCCAAAGCAGGGACATATCTCGTTCAAGCGTAGTAGAATTGTAAATGGGCTGACTCATGTCACACTCATAACTGTGCCTGATCTACAACAGGGAACTGCTGCTTTTTGTTTCCTGATTCTTACTATTGTCATTTTTCTCTACTTCTTTTGTATGTTTGTCACTCCCTTGTGATCTGCTATTTTGGGGTGCCTTGATAGTCGAAGCAGACCTTGTGCTGTTGAAGCTAGAGAGGTGAGCAGTCTAAGTCTGATTCCCTGTAAAGACTTCTCTGTTGACACCCACCCCTTGGCGCTCATATGACCTTTTGCAGTTGCGAGCGCCATAAAACCCTCTACTATAAAAAAAACAACAAAAAAACAAACAAAAAACGTATGGTTAACTAGGCCACACAATATACAGGGTAATCAAAGAAAAAACCCAACTGTACAACTTCTTTTGAAAATATTTTCCTTCACACTGAAGTTTTGCGTTTCAAACTTGTATACAACATTTGGAAGCCAAAAGGAATTTGTCTGATATTCATTTTAGATCAATCCACAGAACAGTTTTGCTAAACAAAGCTGTAAATAAAACAACCTGTTTTCAGCTATGTCCCCATTTTTGTAGAATGACGCACTAGCTCGCATTAGGCATACCACTAAATATCCCAACGATTGCACTATATTGCAAACTACAGTTGTCTAACAGGCCAACAGAAGTTTGCAGATAGTTTTTCTCAAGTTTCCTTTGCCTGCTGAGATCATGGTTAAGATTAGTAGAGAGCAGAGAGCTTTTTGTATTGAACATTTCTTCACCACCAACTCATTTCGTAAGTTTCGCACAAGGAACGGAAATAATGTTAAAGTGCCCTTAAGGCCTTCTTTGATGTCAAGGGTGAAAATGGTCCATCAGTTACGACCAGTACAGAATCAGAACTAAAAATTCGCGGACAACCATTTCAGGTCAAACACACACCGTTCGCACCCCTTTAAACGTCACCAGGGTGCAGAATTCAGTAGATGAGCCCCATGACACGTCTGTCCATAGACGATGTTTGCAGCTATGATTTTCCTACTTTTCAACGGTCCACATTCTCAAGGCAGATATTCATCTACTACTGTACCATTTTCCCGTTCACGAAGTTATCAGAGGATAGCAATGCGTTCACGATTCCTCGATTGTTTTGAAAAGTGTGGACTTCCTCTTTGACATTTGGTTCCTTGATAAAGCCCATATTCTTTCGGGTTATCTCAACTCCACAAATGCTATGTCGGCAGCCTCCCCCCCCCCCCCCCCACCCCAATTGCCTTTAGAAACAAACTCCATACTGTAAGGTGTACAGTGTATTAAGTGGCTTTGAGTACTCACGGTTTGGCGGATCCTTGTGTTTGGCCTCCACTGAACATTACGAACGACGCGTTAAAATGTAAAGGAGGACATATAGACCATTTGTTCTCAAAATTTCAGAATTTTAAAGATATCTTTTAAAACTCTGTAGGAGAAAAGAAATGTTGTTCAAAGGTAACAAGTATGGAAAGATTAGATTTTTAAAAGAAAAGAAAAGGAAAAAAAAAACCCCAATCATTCCATGACTTTCTTTACAAGATTTTTTAAATTTGTACATTTTGCATTTGTAGGTAGTTTTTATAAAAGCCGTTTTCGAAAATAAGTTTCTTCTTTGTGAATTTTTATGTCGAGCAAATTCCTTTTGAGGGAATATTATCTGTTCCAAATTACAACATTCTAGTACAAATTTTGTGCAAGATATTCAGAAAAAAAGTTGTACAGTTTTTTTTTGGATCACCCTGTATTTCAAGCGTATTGCATGCTCGAGGTTGTCAGTTGGTATATGTGCAAGGCAGGCCTCTTTTCTGCCCTCTGCTGCATTATTTTTGTGTGACTCCTGGTGACTCTATCTTTTTCTGTTTCTTGGATGAACCTTTCTCTTTCTCTCTCTCTCCCTCTCTCTCTCTCCCTCTCTCTCTCTCTCTCTCTCTCTCTCTCTCTCTTACTTATTTGGTTTTAGAGAGAAATTATGGGGATGAAAAAGTTTTCTGTTGAGGTCTCCTTCACCCTCCATTCACTGACCTGACCTTTTAAGTACATCAGAGATCTTCACTCTGTGGGGGACTAACATGGGGGTGACCCTTAATGTAATGTGCCAAAGACAATTTTAACTTATTTAAAGAATTGGGAACTGAAGTATACTTATTCTTTAGGTCATTCCCAAAGGGGGGACATTTCTCGTTCAAGCACAGTAGAATTGTAAATGGGCTGATTCATGTCACGCTCATAACTGTGCCTGATATACGACAGGGAACTGCTGCTTTTTCTTTCCTAATCCTTACTATTGTCATTTTCCTCTACTTCTTTTGTATGTTTGTCACACTCTTGTGACCTGCTATTTCCGGGGTGCCTTGATAGTTGAAGCAGACCTTGTGCTGTTGAAGCTAGAGAAGTGAGCAGAGTAAGTCTGATTCCCTGTAAAGACTTCTCTGTTGACACCCACCCCTTGGCGTTCATATGACCTTATGCATTTGCGAGTGCCGTAAAACCCTCTACTATAATAATAATAATAAATAAAGACCTTCCTTGTGGGTGGTTGGTGGGTGCTTTGGTTTTTGCCCCTTCTTTCCTATCAAACATCTGTCTTCACTTTCTCTCCTTCATTTTTGTGTTTGTTACTCTCTTGTAACTCCTCTAATCTGTAGTACACATACAGCTTAATTGTGTTGCAAATGCCATAAAATTCTTACTAAAACAAAAACAAACAGAAAACTAGACCTTCCTTAACTGCGACCCCAGCTACAACAAGCGCCAGATGAGCAGAATTTATCCTAGAGGCACGCGCGTCGACTCCAGCAACTTTATCCCACAGGTCTTCTGGAACGCTGGCTGTCAGCTGGTGGCCTTGAACTTTCAGACACTCGGTGAGTAGATGGTATACGGTTGAAAATGTCTTTTGGGGTCACCCATTGCGGAGGAGAAGAGTAGCCCTCTTAGACAGGTGGGCATCTTTCACAGTGTCATTATAATGTTTAAAAAAAGTTAATAACTTAAACGCAAGGGGTGAAATGGGAAGAGGCTGTTTGTACAGGTATTGTCTTGTACAGGTGGCCGTTAGAGCAAATTTAACTGTACATTGGGGTTATGGAGTTCAAGGGTTTTGTTTGAAGGTTTTAATTGCCTAAAGATATTTTCAACCTTCCATTTTTAGAAATAAGTTACAAGTCATTTTCTTGTTATGTTTTAGGGACATTAATGTTGGCCCATGGAAAGTGGAGACCACTGATATGCATATTAGGTTATGTAAATACTTGGATGTTTGGTGGGGGTTGGGGGGGGGGGAGAGTTTACTTTTACCTTTCATTGTTTCTTGTCTGTATTTGTTGAGCTGTTTTGCTGTTTGTTTATGTGATGAAGCAGCAACATGATCCAATATACTTGTTATACAATATCCTAGACTGTGCACTGGCGTATTTCCGGTTCACTATGGAGTGCACTTTGTGACTCAGTTTGAGCCAAATGAAGGGCATACCCCCGGGAGCAGTGCTACTGACTGAAATGTCTTTAGACCATTCCCAAAGGGGAGACATTAACATCTCGAGTTCTTATGCAGTAGTATAGTATTGTAATTGTAAATGGGCTGATTCATCAATGTCATGCTCATAACTGTACCTGACCTGCAACAGGAAACTGCTGCTTTTTCTTTCCTAATCCTTACTATCGTTATTCTTTCTTCTACTTGTTTTGTATGTTTGTCACACTCTTGTGACCTGCTATTTCCGGGGTGCCTTGATAGTCGAAGCAGAGTTAGTGCTGTTGAAGCTAGAGAGGTGAGCAGAGTAAGTCTGGTTCCCTGTAAGGGCTTCTCTGTTGACATCCACCCCTTGGTACTCATATGACCTCATGCAGTTGCGAGCGCTGTAAAGCCTCTACTAAAACAAAACAAAATGAAGGGAGGGGGGGGGGGGAGGTGCTGGGTGCACTTAGCTATAGGGATGTTTTGTTCTTCAACTGGATATTATGACAAGGCTTACGGTGCACAGGCTTAGGAGGGAAGTTTTTAAAGAGAGCAAAGAGCTAGTCATGACAGTGTGTGGGTCTGGGAGTAGTAGTCTATGCTTGAGAGCAAAGAGCTAGTCATGTTCCCCCCCCTCTCTCTCTCTCTCTCTCTCTCTCTCTCTCTCTCTCTCTCTCTCTCTCTCTCTCTCTCTCTCTCTCTCTCTCTCTCTCTCTCTCTCTCTCTCTCTCTCTCTCTCTCTCTCTCTCTCTCTCTCTCTCTCTCTCTCTCTCTCTCTCTCTCTCTCTCCCCCCCTCCCTCTCTACCTCTATTTTTTTTCTTTGTTATTTGCTGAGTCTGTCCCCGTGGTTTTATGCACCCCGCATAGTTAAGCAAAATTTGATCATTTTTTGGCATAATTTCTGATTATTTTCGTTTATCATTCTTTGTTAAAATTAACAGAATCACATAATTTCACTTTTTTGGGCTCAGTTTGCATAATTTCAGAATTTTTTGTTCATAAAACTGCGGGGACAGCTGAGTGTGCTGTGGAATGGATGGTCTTAAGGGGTTTTACTTTTAGTGGAGACTTATTTTAGTAAATTTTGTGATTACATTGAGTTGTATGTCATTGCACAGACCATTGTAAGACAAATGTATGTAAAGGACATTTAAAAACGGTCTTGTCTTTTATCTCTGAATGGCGACACAGGTAACAAGTAACAATTCTGAGTTGTCTTGTTCCCAGACCTTGCCATGCAGATTAACATGGGACTCTTTGAGTACAACGGCCGTTCGGGGTACATCATCAAGCCCGATTTCATGCGGCGACCTGATCGACATTTTGACCCATTTGCCGAGTCAACAGTCGATGGGATCATAGCTGGAACTGTGTCCGTCAAGGTATGAAAAAAAATTGTTCTGGAGTGCACCCAGAATGAGGAGGGCGATAGGAGTTTTCACAGTGGGTCAGATTGGAGCTATTTATGTTGCAGTAGCCAGATTGGGGGAAGGTTATCGTGTCCGGACTGAAGATATTCATGTTTATAATTACAGTGGATCAGATTGAAGTTACTTATGTTATAGAAGCCAGATAAAAGTATGGGTCGAATTGGAGTTATTTATATTCCAGTGGGACAGATTGGAGTTGTTTATGTTACAGTGGGTCAGATTGGAGTTATTTATATTCGAGTGGACCAGATTGGAGTTATTTATATTCGAGTGGGCCAGTTGGAGTAATTTATATTTGAGTGGGTCAGATTGGAGTAATTTATGTTGCAATGGGTCAGATTGGAGTAATTTATGTTGCAATGGGTCAGATTGGAGTAATTTATGTTGCAATGGGTCAGACTGGAATTACTTATTTTACTGTGAGCCAGATGGGAGTTACTTATGTCACAGTTGGCCAGATGGAAATAAATTGTTTTTGGAGTTTCAAAGAATCTGTTTTCAACCCCTTGAGTATTTATGGACTCTTTTTAGACTGATTCATGTTAATGGCAGCACACTTGCTCATTCATAGTTTGCTTTCTCTTGAGTGGATCCTGTATGCTAAATTAAATTGGCGTTTTATTAACTAGGACGCTCACCTCTAGCAATAATTGAACCTCCTGCCTAGTCCTACTTTGATCAAAATCCCAACATCCCAGAATTTCAGAGGTCATAGATAGCTTGTTGTTAAAAATGCTTTCATTATGTGAGTCTTGAGCTTAGCTTGCAGCCTGTGAGTGGTTTCTGCCTGTTCTAAGTTAAAGTGTGCACTATATGAAAATTGATAGCCTATTCCCCACTATTGTCACTGCAAGTGTAGTTTAAAATATATATATAAATTAATGTTAGCATTTTCAGCACAACGACTAAGGTTTCAACCCATCAAATTTTAAGAAAAGAATAAAGATGTGGTATAAGTGGATACAGTTATAGTGCAGGAAAATGCACAAAAAAAAAGTAATCAATAATGCAGCATTTAGCCAGTAGTCATGCTGACTTTCTCGTTCTAATGCACAGTAGAATTGTAAATGGGCTGATCCAACAATGCCGTGCCCATAACCATGCCTGAACTACAACAGGGAACTGATGCTTTTTCTTTCCTAATCCTTACTATTGTCATTTCCTCTACTTCTTTTGTATGTTTGTCACACTCTTGTGACCAGCCATTTCCGGGGTGCCTTGATAGTCGAAGCAGACTTTGTGCTGTTGAAGCTAGAGAGGTGAGCAGAGTAAGTTTGATTCCCTGTAAGGACTTCTCTGTTGACATCCACCCTTTGGCGCTCATATGACCTTATGCAGTTGCAAGCGCCGTAAAACCTCTACTTAAACTAAAACTAAACAGTCAACTTGACTTAAGGCCAAGGCATTACAATTTTATCCTCACTCCCACACCCTGCTGCATGCTCACAGACCGAATTGACGTGTGCACAAAGCATTTACTAATCAATCAGTCAATTATGAGAAGTATTTATGGTATCATCGGTGTCACAAGCAATCCACTTAAGTCCGTTTGGGTACTTTTTACATCAGAGACCAAAAACAAATTTTTGTTGTGTTGTTCTTGTCAGGAATCATGAAAAGCAAGGACATTGTAAGCCTTGACCATAGTATTAAACTGCAATTTGGTGATGTATAAGATGCATCTCTGATAGAGTTTTGGGAGGGTGTAGATATTGAAATTTCTCAAAATTTGGACGTAAATGGGTTGCTTGCTACAGCGACGACATATATTTATATATATATATATATCTCTGCTTACAAACGTCTGTGGTGTAGCTGTTAGCGCACAGAAGGCCCAAGTTTGATTTCTGGGTCGGGAGAATTTCTATCTGGGTCTTTCGGTTGGGACATTGTATATGTATCACAGACATGATCAAAGCCCACCTCCTGAATGATCTAAATAAGTTCGTGGGGCTGGAAAAAACCCACTTACATTGGGGGCGGGGGGACAACAATTTAAAAACTTTCTTAGAATGTTGTGATGGTGCCATAAAAGTAAAATGAGTTTTATAAGTTAGCTTTTTTTCTCTCTCACAGATCGTTTCGGGCCAGTTTCTATCCGACAAGAAGGTGGGAACATATGTGGAGGTGGACATGTATGGCCTGCCCACAGACACAGTGCGCAAGAAGTTCCGCACTAAGACTGTTCCCAACAATGGGATCAATCCAGTTTATGATGAGGACCCCTTTGTTTTCAAAAAGGTATCCATATTCTTCTCTGTCTGCCTGCCACAGTCACCATTTCTCTCCCTGTGTCTGTTCACCTTTTCTTTTGTTCCATTCCTCTTCTTTTCTGTCTCCTTCTCTTTCTTCTCTCTCTCTGTCTCTCTCTCTCTCTCTGTCTGTCTCTCTGTCTGTCTGTCTGTCTGTCTGTCTGTCTGTCTGTCTCTCTGTCTGTCTCTCTGTCTGTCTGTCTCTCTCTGTCTCTGTCTCTGTCTCTCTCTCTCTCTTCTCTCTCTCTCTCTCTCTCTCTCTCTCTCTCTCTCTCTCTCTCTCTCTCTGCTTCTCTTTATCTCTCCCTTCCACTCTTTGTCTCTTTGCCCTCCTTTCTACCTCCCTCCAACCCCCATCTTTCTCCTTCAATCCTTTTCTCCCTCCCCTCTCCCTCCCTCCCCTCTCCCTCCCTTCCTCAATCTGTACCCTACCACTGTACTGTACTGACTCTCGCCCAGGTGGTTTTGCCCAACCTTGCCATCGTGAGGATTGCCGTGTATGAGGAGCAAGGGAAGCTACTGATTGGCCACCGGGTGCTGCCCGTGGAGGGACTTCGCCCCGGCTATCGGCACATCCCGCTCCGCAATGAATGCAACCAGCCGCTTCTCATGCCAACCTTGTTTGTGCACATCGTGGTGAAGGATTACGTACCCGATGACCTTGCAGGTAATGGTCGTATTGTATTTTGCTTATTATTCTTATTAAGTAGGGTGCTTGCAGTTGTTGGTGCCATGGGTTCAAACCTGAGGAACAAGTGGACTTTTAGGGTACAACCTGAAAATGGGATCCATTTTTGAAAAAAAAATTTCTGTAATATTTAATGTAGATGTTTTTACACCTCTATCGACACCATTTAGATCATTTAAGAGGCACCCCCAGGGCGGTGCCACTGACTGAAGTGTCTTTAGACCATTCCCAAAGGAGGGACATTTCTCATTCTAATGCTCAGTAGAATTGTAAATGGGCGGATCCAACAATGTCATGCTCATAACTGTGCCTGAACTACAACAGAGACTTGCTGCTTTTTCATTCCTAATCCTTACTATCGTCATTTTCCTCTACATCTTTTGTATGTTTGTCAAACTCTTGTGACCCGCTATTTCCGGGGTGCCTTGATAGTCGAAGCAGACTTTGTGCTGTTGAAGCTAGAGAGGTGAGCAGAGTAAGTCTGATTCCCTGTAAGGACTTCTCTGTTGACATCCACCCCTTGACGGTCATATGACCTTATGCAGTTGCGAGCGCAGTAAAACCTCTACTAAAACAAAAATTTAAGAGGTATGCATCCCAATACAAAGACAGAGATACTTGAATAAAATGCCTCTATTGGGAAACGAATTGGAGTCTCTGCATGCAACAGCGAAGTGCTTAATCGCTACACTGCAGGTGCCGGTCTGTAATACTTACTCTCGGCTCATTGTCTGTGAGGGAGTTTAGCACTCTACCATTTAAATGATGTATATTGGGTCTTGTGGAGAAATTACACTGATGATAGAGAGGGAGGTGTTGAAGTACCAAAAGAGAGAGAAGGGGAGGATCATGTTATTCTGCAGGTCACGTCCTTTGGCAATAGTTAAAGATTAGTCTTCCTTGTAACACCAGTTACCTTGAATTGCAAATGCCAAATCACTTAAGGACTCTGTGTGTGTGCGTGCGTGTGTGTATGTGTGTGTGTGTTAGGGGGGAGGGGGGGTTGGGTTCTGTTGCAGATATGACCGGTTGGAGAATGCCTCCCTCTCACTTGTTGCTCTGCTGTGTCAGATTTTTGTCTTAATTATTTCCAGTTCCGTGATACCATTAATGAGACTATAGGCAGTCTTGCTTTCTGATCTTCAAATTTCTGTTCCTAAGATGTTCAGTGTTTCCTTGAGTTTAGTAGAGAAACTTTAAACACCTGATTTTGTCTGTGGAATTGTGAAATGACAATTGTGTTGACATGAAGGTGGAGGTCACATTTGTTATGTCAGACGATAAGTGACCATTTTTCTGTCAGTGTGCCTCAGTTTTTCTCAAACCAAAATTTCTTTCCCAGAGTATGCTGATGCACTGTTCAACCCAATCGCCTATCAATCGAATCTTGAGAAACATGCTCAGCAACTTGAGATTCTGACAGAGGATTTTGATGCAGTTGATGTAAGTCTTTTCCTTTGTACTGGGTCATGCACTAGTGATGGCTTTATATTTTAGCTCTACAGTTTTTTTATATTTTTCACCCCTTTTCTATCCTTTTTAAACAGTCAAGCTACACTACGGTATATTTGCTCAGAAATTTGCTGTGGGCTTTTGAGGTGCATGAGTCATTAGAATAACTTGGCATCTTACCTCTATGACTGCTGTGATCAAACACTAAAATACTGTTGCTTCTTTCTTTAATAAAGATATAACAATGATTTTACAGTTGGTGACAATGTTGTATTTTAGTCTTTTTACTTCCCTAAATATCATTTACTGTTTTTTTCTGTTTTGTTTATGTATGTGGTTTTAGTTTTTGAGCTTTCTGGCATATGTTTATGTCATTTGTACTCAAATATGCTAAGTTGCTGTGATTTCAATTTCAATTATCACATGTTTCGTATTGAGCTTTTACTGATCATAATCATTTCTTGGGCACAGGTTCCTAGCCATCCTCTCACATGTTTTAAATCTGAGATAACTTTAAAAGTTAGCTTAATGTGAAATGGTTAAGAAGTCTCATTTCCTGATAATTGCATGCAGATGTATATAATTATCTATCATTATTTGATATTGGAGGAATGGTGTTGAGGCTTAAGATCATAGCCAACAAGAAACATTAAGGTGTTTTGTTACAAGACTTGAGAAACTTTTTTTTTTCAGAAATGTTGATTATTTCCTCCATTGACTAGAAGCTTGTGTACAAGAATATCTGTAAAAATTGTATGTTTGTATTCTGAGAAAAGAGTATAAGCATAAGAACATTTGGAAAGCTTTTATTCATCTCCCCCCCCCCCCCCCCCATATTTATTCTCCAAGACTTGTTTATAGAGATAGGTGGGATTTTTCAGCAGTGGTGGAAAGGATAGGCTTTGATGTGAGTGTGTGTGATATTATGTGAGTGTGTGTGTGTGATTTCGGGGGAAGGGGGGGGGGGGGATTTTTTCGAAAAATGTTACGAAACTGGTTGGCCACACCATCATACTGTACTAGCTTACAAAGGTTCAAAGTTCACTGCATGCTCATACTTAAATTTGTGCATAAAAACTTTTACTTCCAAGTTTTGATAATTTATAATTGCAGATTCAGTGAATACTCCAGTGCATGTGTAATTAGGCAAGCATATTCAAATAAGTGTCCACACACAGTAAAGTAAAACAATCCAATAAAAATTGGGGGGAATGATTTTTTTTTCACCTGTAAACATTCGTATTAATAATGTCTTTTCTAAGAAGCAGCTTACACATGGAACTAGGGAATCCAAGATACTTTTCCCCTATTTCTTCTGTGCCTTAGAAATGCATGTGTAAGCCAGGTGGCTTCTTATGTTTTTAGATTATTTTTGTTTGCAGTTTGGCTTTTCGAAAAATTGTAAGCTTTTTTTTTTTGGACGACCTGCTACATTGTTATATTAACCTCTATTTATCAGTGTAATAATTTTTCTTTTCAGATGTTATTTAATGATTTTCTTAGATTTTTCCAATGAGTTTTTCTTTTCTCCGTCAGAATGACCCTGCTCATTTATCATGTTCTATATTGGTTTTGTTTCATGTTTTGGTTCATTTTTCTTTGCCTCTTTCCATTACTTTGTTTCTTTTGCCTTACCGGGATCAGGAGAAGGAGGAGAGCTTGGCAGAGGCCATTGTAAGTTGAGCATGATGGTGGTAGCTCTGATATCGTGCTCTGTGGACTGTCTCAATCCCTGTGCCCTTGTGATCGAGTCAAATGTCATAAAAGGACTTTGGCTTCCCTTGCTGGTTCCTGGGGAAATCATGTGTTTACCTAACCCAAGGAGATGAAAAGTAGTATAACTGATCGTGCTCAATTTTTAAATGTTTTATAATTGATCACTCATTAATGTTTTTAAAAATACATAATAATATGAATTCCAATTTTTTTTTCCTCTCATAATTATACTTGTTTAATGAAATTAGAAACAACTTATTGCATATTTTTCAAAAGTAAATTTGTCCCGCTCTTAAAATCAAATCAAAGATAAGCATAACCAAGGGCACATTCAACTTGGCCTATTGTTCAACTGAGCTAAACCTGATTTCATCTGGGTGGGTTTAGGATAGTCCGCTGTGTAAAGTATTTTTTGTTCTCGTGTGATAAAGTGATAACTTGGCGGCTTACCGTACGCCTAAATGCGATACTGTTTAGGCCCCAACGGTTGTTCAGAAAATGGAAAGTTTTTGTTCTTTACGAACGAAGAGAGAGGACAGGGAGAATTGCTTTGATTTAGCCTGTATTCATCCTAATTTATCGTCCTTTGTATGATAATTGTTTCAGTCTATTTTCAAGGGAAATCAATTTCAACTATTTGTTGGCCGTGAAATTAGTAACGGTTTGAAAGTACTATATTGTTTCGAATTGCCCTTACTTTTATTTATCAACTATGAGATCTATCAGTTAATCGCAGACTGATTAGTATTTTTAGGGAATGTTCCTTCCTTAGTACCCCTTGTGTTTGTAAATGTAGAGGTTAAGGGATGGTTATGGATTCTAGTCCCTTGTTGTATCGTGTTGGAAAGTGGTCCCGATCACCGATTCAGTGTTGTACCATACAGCGGAACCGTCTTCCTCAATACATTAAACCCACAGAAGACAGAGAGAGAGAGAGAGAGTCCGAGAGAGAGAGTCCGAGATGAGAAGCTCAGCCTTAGGCAGAAAATATTCGTTTCAGAAAAGCTTGCCTTCTGTTGTTGTTTTTTGTTGTTGTTGTTGTTGTTTGTTTTTTTGTTTTTTTGGGGGGTTATGTTGTTGGTTTTGTATTTGGTGTTATTTTACTTTCGTTTTTTGAGTTTCTTTTCAGTATCATGATTTCATATTTATGGTAGATTTTGTACCACAAACATTTTCCTGCACCTTTTGTTGGTTTGTTTTTGGGGGTTGGGGGAAGGTACGTTGTTTTTCTGCTTTGCTTGTTTTTATGTTACTAAATCAACGTTCTAAAACAAGTTAAAATAGTTGAGTTTCTAGATCGTTTCATCAAACAATAATAAAAGGCTTTTCACACAGGCTGTATCGCTCTTGAGTTGTGAAGCGGGGGACTTCCATTTTATGTCAGTTGACGCTCCGATCCATTTGTCCCTACCCTGGCTTCAGTCCCGTTCCCAAAGAGCGTGTGTCCGTGTCAGTTCACTCGCTATTAATCTGGCTTCAGACCTTTTAGAAGAAAACAAACAAAAAGAAAAAAAGAAGGAGAAGATAGTTCATGGGACATTGGTTGATCAGATCTAAGAACGATTTCGAGCCCATTGCCACAGGGACTTTGTGATGAGCTTATTGTTACTATGTTACCTCACGGCGTTCAGTTTTAAGGATAATTGGTCGCTTTTAAGCACAAGCAGGCTATCCCGATAAATGCTGTTTTGAGAAAATCGAAGTTAAAGTTTTTGGATCCTTATTGTGTGTCTTTAAAAAACAAGGAGTGTTTTCTCTATAACCAAACAAACATACACACCAATGAAACCAAACTTCTCCTATAGGTAGGGCAATGCCCATTTTTGGTGTAGGTCAAGATTTCTGGAAACCCCGAATTCCGGGTTAGCCCGCTTGTCCTTAAAAACGACCAATTTTGACAGAGATTTTTAAAGTGCTCACAAATCATGGCGTCTGCTCGTCTTCTCAGTGCACCAGTAGCCACAACGCTGGGATGAAAGTAGCTAGAGACACGATCTCAATAAATCTGTCCTCAAAGAAAGATGTTCGCTATCATGGGCCTCGCTACTTTATATACTCTTCGAAAAATAAAGAAAAGAAAAGAAACGCATAACTGCAAAGTACACGATTACATTATTTTTACTAACAGGCCAATAACTTTGTAATTGTCGCCTTAATGAACTCTCCAATAATTTGAGACTTAAATGACAACAAGTACTGCCGAATACAAAAGAAAAGCTATGTTTACCTATTATGAGACCCAAAAAACACGGGTCTCAGATAATGCGTTTCATATTTTTTCTCTTTTTTTTCTCTTTTTTTAAATTAAAGAGTGTAGTATTATCTTTACATCTTTCTCTCTTCAAGGGTGACTCAACACCACTTCCCGGGAACTTCTTTTGGTGGGCCAATCGTTTTAGGCGGTTTTACAGTACATGTTCCATCCCATTGTGAATAGCATTCTTGTCGTAGGGGCATGCTGCTTTCTTTTCTATCTGTTTCTAAGTACACGTTTGTAGCTGTGTGGATTAATTAAGAGAAGTAAGGTCTAGTCCCTTACCCAATTCTACTACCCCCTCCCTTTTATAGCACCTGGGTTCGAACCCATAGCTTTGCGATTGTGTTTGGTCAGCTTCTGTTCGTATTTCAGTTTGACTAGAACTAGATCAGTCGCATATTTCTGCGATTCTTGCGGGGTTTTTTCTAGGGAGTTTTGGTTGATGCCTTGTGACGATGGTTTAGTCCCATGCCAGGCGGACATTGAAAGCGTCGTTATTTCACACCAGGATCTGTTGAAAAGGTCTTTGGACATAGCCAAATGAAAATCTGTTACGTACCGAGTATGTATAATATATATATATATATATATATATATATATATATATATATATATAATGTACACACTCAGATTGTAAAGCGCATAGAGCGTGCTGTTGTTCAGGAATTTTCTCAACACAAATGCTATTTGTTATATTATAAGATAGGAGAGAGTATCACATGGCCTCTTTATGCTTGCACGAGCTCCTAATTGTGAACCGTGCGAGTGCACCCCCCCCCCCACACACACACACTCAATCTCCACCTCCTTTTCGACCCACTGATGTTTCTTTGTGTCATAGAAACTGTTATGTCGATGATTTAGATGGAACTGTTCGACCCCCAGCTCGGTCCGACGCTGTGTCCTTGAGAAAGACACTTTACACGAATGTCCCATTAATTTGGCTCCCTCCTTTCGGACATGGTGGTTTTACACGGAGGTGTCGCCTCTGAAATTACTCGTACCATTTCACCATTTATTTTTTTTTACACGTAACTCCTTTTTTGCTATCCCTTGTATTATGTTAATACAGTATGTTATGATTTGATGAAAGCTGTCGACTCAAAAGTGAACGGTGAACGTACATTAATAGTGGTACAAACAACTGCTTAAAAACGCGCGTTTCAGAGATGTATAGGTTCCTCTGTATGTGTTAGTGTTTGTGTATCTGTGTGTGTGTGTGTGTGTGTGTGTGTGTGTGTGTGTGTGTGTGTGTGTGTGTGTGTGTGTGTGTGTGTGTGTGTTTACGTGCGTGCGTGCGTGCATGTGTTTGCGGAAGCGAGTAACTGTTTGTGGATGTGTGTGTATGTGTGGAGGGGGGGGGGTACTTTCTTGTCTCTTATTTTGGGGTAGGGAGTGTTTCTAAGACCTCTGGAGTCACAGTTTGATGCAGCACTTATGTGGAGACATGGGATAAGTGAATAGGGTTTTGGCACTCTCAAACTTGGGGTATCAGATCAACAAGGTTTCGTGTCTAGATATAAGACTTAGATCTAGATCTATATATCGTTGGCAAGCCGTTCAAATGGTCTAAGCCCAGAAGGCAAAAACATTTCTGGAGAGAAAAACTTGGTTCACTCTTTTCACCTAATTTATAAAAGATATATTATCCTTCTTGGCTTTTTAAAAAACCCTATCCGTACGCCGTGGGGTCATTTCGTACCCTCGGGTTTGTATTCTTCACATTTTAGAATACTTGTAGTACAAAAATCTCTTTGAAACGCCCAGTATTTCTCAAAAAATAATTTTGACAGATTGCTATGCAAAGCGTACGGATCAGATTAAAACGAGTTTCCTCTTTGGAAAGTGGTGGCACAGAGTTCCCCACGTCATATGGATACGATAGTAAAACATGACATACGAATAGGGTTACATATTTAGAATTTGAACTTTGACAATTTTTCTTGAGCACATGCAATCAATATCACGGATTAGGAAACTGCAGTTAAACGAACTTACGACTTATATTGTATATTGCATTTGAACCGGTGGCCGACGATTATGACCATATTTGTACCATACCACGGTGTCTATTCGGACACGGACACGACCCTTCTAAAGGACTATTTTCCCTCTATAAAAACATGTATTGCATGTCGGTTTATGCAAAGAAACGAAACAACCTCGATTGTTTTTCATCATTCTATAAATAAAATAATAGAATGCAATTTCATGCAAACTGCAAAGGTGCGTTGGTCCAAAAAAGAAAGAGAAGCACGACATTCTCAAAAGGAAAAAGACCCACACTGCACGGTACTCGCATTCGTAAAAGACACCCGTGTCTGAATATACACGGGAGCTTAAATGGACACGTGTCCGAATAGACGCAACCTATTTGTACACAAGGTGTAGCATATTTGCAGTCTGCTCTCTGAAATGTTCGGGGAAATGGGGTGGGGGCTTGTGTGGTTGAATGTAATATCGTATGAATATTGTGTATAAGTGTAAAGTGCTTGGATTTTCTGTATGTGTCGCTAAAATTACTGTGCCAAAATGTTTGCTTGCCACATGAGCAGTGTTTATTACACCCTACTCCTACACACTTCAATTTTTTTCGCTTTATTCCCCCCCCC